TGTACTCGGTACCAACTGCCCAAAAACCCTGAACCGATGTGCCCAATCTATCTATAGGCTACAACTAGCCTAGACTCGACCTAGACCGGACTGACCGACCGACCGGTACTGTTTCTGTTTCGGCCTCTCGGCCTCTACCGGACCCGGCTATAGGCTATAGGACCGTCTATGAGATTAGGCCCTTAGGGCCTGTCTGTCCTACGGGTAGCCCGGGCCTGCTATCCGCAGTTAGGGTAGCTATAGGGAATCCGGTTAGTGTCGGGCTTGTATTTTCCCGGATTTGCAGATATGTCCCTCACGAATTTTCCTCACAGGTAGGTCTCTCGGTTAGCCCTCAGCCAAACAAAAATTGCGAATATGTCCTACCTATAGTACAGCCTCGACATAGAGAGGCTACAGGCGACCAGAAAACAACAAGTCATTGCAGACCTACCCTCCCGCGGAGCGAGGACCTCCGAGCTAGGCGCGTAGGCGTGCAGAGCGTCGAAGGGATACCCCCTTCTGTGCTGCCTCGTATTTGAGGATTACAGACTTGGCCGTCTTCAGAAGTTCCTTGCGAGTAAACCAGCGATCCTCAGTATGTGTCTGGTACAAAAACTTCACAAGGTACTCCTTATCTGGACCTGTACCTGACTCATCCTCCACAGATTCGACCTCATACCCTTTGCCCGGGATAGGGGGACCGAACTGAGGAGGCCTGTCTGGGAATGCATCAGCTGGCGTGAATGGCAACAACTTCGATGCATGAAAGACAGGGTAGGTTTGTAGATGCAGAGGGAGATCCACCGTATAGGATGGTCCAAATGGATCATCTCCCACTGTATCTAAGACCTGCCATGGACCCATATATCGTGGCAACAACTTAGGTGATATGTCCTCCTCTTGTGAGAGCTCAAAACTGAGCACCCACACCCAGTCACCTGTGTGAATAGTAGAGGAACGTTTGTGCTTATTAGCCTGTTGAATCATGGCCTTTTGGGCCTTGAGTAGGTTAGCACGGGCGCGCTCAATGTCCACACGGTAACGTCTGGTGAACTCTGCAGTTCCAGGCATCAACGTAGGGGTAGCCTTATCGATGATGTCATCGAGAGGCTGCTGTGGCTCACGACCCCAGTGTAACCGATAGGGTGTAAAGCCAGTAGAGGAGTGTACAGACGTGTTGTACACAAGCTGTGCACGAATCAAATGGAGATCCCAGTCCTGCTGATCTGGGCTGATCACAGGACGCAACAACTGGAAAAGAATCTGGTTCATCACTTCAGCCTGACCGTTGGCTTCAGGATGACGACCAGATGTCATATCCAGGCGTGAATGAAGGTAATCCCTGCAATAGGATTGTCATTCATTGCTGCAAAACCGGGGATCTCTGTCACTGACAATAGAGGTGGATGGTCCATGATGTGTAACCCAACTGTCAGCAAACGCCACCTGAACGGCTGGCACACGAGCCTCAACTGGTAAGGGGATGAACTCTGCATATTTGGAGAACCGATCCACACATACCATGACCTGACGCATACCACGAGGAGTAGTCCTACCCAAGTCAGTAAAATCAATAGACACTAACTGTGCAGGAGCATCAGGGATAGGTAGTGGTTTGAGTAGGCCGAGGGGAGGTCGACGTACAACCTTGTTCCTTTGGCACAACTCACAGGTTTCCACATAATGCAGCATGTCACTTCTCATCTCCTTCCAGAAGAAGCGCTGCGACAGGGCTGCATAAGATTTGAGGGCACCAAAGTGACCACGAGCATCATGACATTCTGACATCAGAGGTGTCCTCAGCTTGCGCCTCTGGGGAATGCACAGGCGCTCCTCACCTCTGATGCATGTGTGCAGCAGTCCTGAAACCAGAGTATATCCGGGTTCAGAGGCAGGATCATCTTGGAGATTCCTTACGATAGGCCCAAAGATCTCATCCTGGGGCAGCAATTGGGCACTGGTCTGACGAGTCCTCTCTCCAAATGAGTGAGTAAAGGAGATCAGGAAAAGAGCGTCAGGCCTACGAGAAAGGTCATCTGCTACTCAATTGTAGCAGCCCTTCTTATGTCTCAGTTCAAAGTCAAACATGTCAACGAACTGGATGTAGCGCGCAAGCTTGTCATTCAACTCTCTCTGGGACTTCATCCACTGCAGGGTGGAGTGATCTGAAAAGATCTTGAAGTGCCTACCTAGGAGAAAGTGCTTTCAATGCTTGAGCACTGACACAAGAGCATAGAGCTCTTTCTCATAGGTGGAGTCCTGCAACTTTTTGCTCTTGATCTTTTTGCTCATGTACTCAATTGGCTGCAGACCATTCCCATCATCCTGCTGAAGTACCGCCCCTACTCCATACTGACTAGCATCAATAGTAAGCACAAAAGGCAGGGTAGGGTCAGGTAGCTTCAAGACAGGGGCACGAATCAAGGCCTCCTTGAGACGTGTGAAAACCTCCTGACATTCTGATGTCCAAAGAAAGGAAGTGTCTTTCTTTGTGAGATTGGTCAAGGGAGCTGCAATAGAAGAGAAGTTTTTTATGAACTTCCTGTAGTACGATGCAAGTCCCAAGAATGACCGGACATCACGAATGTTGGCAGGTCGCTGCCAGTCCTGAATTGCAACAACTTTCGTTGGTTCAGGAGCCAACCCCTCTCTAGAAATGACGTGACCCAGATAGACTATAGAGGGAACCCCAAAAGAGGACTTCTCCCGGTTGATCTTATACTGGTTATCACGTAAGGCCTGGAGGACCAAAGCCAGATGTTGTGCATGCTCTTGGACAGAACGACTGAATACCAAGATATCATCAAGGTAGACAACTACGAACTTGTCCAGGTCAGGCCTCAATATGCGATGCATCTCTGTTTGGAAGGTGCCTGGGGCATTGCAGAGACCGAATGGCATAACCAGGTACTCATAAGTGCCATACCTGGTTTTGAAGGCTGTCTTGTGGACATCGCCTTCAGCCATCTCAATCTGGTGATAGCCAGATTTGAGGTCGATCTTGCTAAAGATGGCACATCCCTGCACCATATCCAACAGATCATCAATGCGAGGAAGGGGCTCTGTAGACTTCCTCGTGATTTTATTGAGACCACGATAGTCCACGCACATCCTGAACTCACCATTCCCCTTTGGAACAAAGAGGACTGGTGCCCCAAACTCAGATGTGCTGGGCCTGATCCAGCCCTTGCTGGTCAGGGTCTCTAACTGTTTCCTGAGCTCTTCAAGTTCAGCAGGAGACATCCTGTAGACTCGGCCCTTGGGAGGGACCGAACCAAACAGGATCTCAATCTTATGTTTTGTTTGCCTATGGACAAGTCCAGTAGGCTCCTCCATAAGATCTAAGAAGCTGTCTACAACCTGCTGAATCTGAGAGGGACAGGGAGCAGTCTCCACGTCAGTCTGCTTGACATAAGCCACGAACAGACGGGCGTGGTCAGTCTGGCGTGAGAATCACAAAAATCTGCGAGCACTCATGCAATAACAGCTGTTGGCCGGATGGTACTCGTCAGTGAGCATGCAAGGGCGATATACCCCATGCCGGTTAGGTAGCTCAACCCTAGGGATCCGGCAGTCGATCCTAGGATTGGTGGCTCCAAGCCACTGCATAGAGAAAATAAGGTCAAAGGGAACATTAGGAAACACATAGAAGTTCAGGCAGTGCCTAACTTCTCCCTGCTTGTCAAAGGACGCAGGTAGGCCCTTGACAGCAGAAGTGATCCTGACTGTGGAAAAATCTCCAATACGAACCTCAAATGGTTGTCGCAATTTCACCAATCTCTGATCCAAGTGCAGCCTGCTGATTGCCTTGGGAGAGATGAAGTTGCGAGTAGCCCCACAGTCTAAGAGCCCTTTGATCTTGGCTCCCAGGATGGAGGGTCAAAGCAGGATGAGTTCGGACTTATGCTTCTTCTTCTCCTGCAAGGACAGGAAAAAATCAGCAATACACTGAGCATCCTCCTCCTCCCACGTCTCATCCAACTCAGAGTCTTCAAAAGTGAAAGACCTTGAAGATGCAACTCCTGAGATAGAGGAACCAGCGAGAGAATATGAAGATTCACCCTCCTCAGAGAGTGAATCAGCACTGGTGGAAGGAGCTGCTGCGTCCACCTCTCTCTGCTCTAGTTTTTTGAACTAGAGCTGCCTGTAGACCTGTGAGGCATGCTGGGACAGTCCTTTAAGAAGTGGTCCCCCTCGCATCTCAGGTAGACACCCTTGTCTTTTCTCTTCCTCCAGACCCCCTCCGGATCCTGAGTGCATGCCAGGGGAAGGTGGAAGGATCAAGGGGGTCAGCTGGCCATCGGACGTCACGTGGTAATGGTACTCTCTGGGCACCAGGGGAAGAAGCACGTCCCTTTCCTTCCCCTGTCTACTGATTGATGCTTTCTGGGTTGGGGCCTTGCCTTTTGTCAAGCCCATCAGAGCATCAGCCAGGGCAAGAACTGCAGAATCTGCAACAGGTGATGATGCAGTCCCAGGTGGAGGGCTCCCACCCTGGGATGCTGTGTCACTATCTGAACCAGAAGCTGCAGCAGCAAACAAGGCACCCTTCCTCCTTCTTCGCCCTTTGGAGGAGGGTCCCTTCCTTCCTTCGGAAGGTGCCTCCTGAACATGGAGTTTGGACTCCAAGTCCGGGGTTGCTATGCCAAAGAACCGCCAGTCCTTGTGGCCCTGAGAGAATAGAGCAAGCTGGAATTGCTCAGGCGCTGCTCTGAGGAAATGAATGAGCAGATCTTGCTCACTCATCTCCAACCCAGGAGTCGATGTAAGACTCTCAAAGGTGGAGTACAGTTTGGACAAGGAGCCATCAAACTTTTTCTGGCCCAGGCGCCTGGCCTGCGCCTTGTCTGCAAACCGGTCTTGCAGTGCCTGCAGAAATCTAGCCACCCCCAACCTCTGCGCCCAATCAGCCATCTCCATACCTTGCTTGCCGGAGGTGGAGGTGCACCATTTCAGTGCTGATCGCTCCAAGCGAGCAAGGATGGCTGACACCTTCACATCCTCATCACATTTGAACCCACTGAGGTAGGTTCTTTGTGCAGCAACCCAGTCTGCCACATCCACCTTTGGGTCCTTGCCTAAGAACATGGGTGGCGGTGTCAGCGTAGGCCGCTGAAACTCAAATGATGTTGAGGGCTGTGAAGTTGCTGTTGATGTGGGTGTCGGGGGTGGAGATGTGGGTCTGGAGTGTGGGGGTGATGCAGGTTTCCCTTGCGAAGGTCCAGGAGAGGGAGGAGCAGGAGAAATGGTAGGGATCTTAAGGCGAGTGAAGAGCAGATCCAGTTTGGCAGAGATATCATCCAACTTTTTATAAAAAGTTGAGTGACTGCTCTCCAGACTGGTGATCCGGTCATGCCAGTTAGTAAAATAAGAACGATGAATATCATCCTGCAGGGGGATGAATTCAACCATGTCCTTATTATACTGACTAGAACTCCCACTAACCCTGATCATCTCCACAACTGCAATCAGTAACTTTCGCCTTGCCTCTTTCTGGGTTGCTTCCTCTTTCTTCTTCAACTCAGCCTTTAGAGTATCAACTGCCTGGGCCTGCTGGCGGAGTTTCTCCTCCTGGGCCTGCAGTTCAGCCTTTAAAGGGTCCAGCGGAATCTGAGGCTTGACCTCAGAAGCCTCTGCCTTCCCTGCATCAGCCATTTTGAATCTTCCCACAATTCAGATAAATAAAAATAAACAAACACTCAGAGCCAGCGCAGGAGGTAACAGGAATTGAGACTTCCCTTCAGTACTCACTCAATTGCTGTCACTTGTCTAGAGAGAGAAGATTGGTTAACTCTGAGTCAGTGAGTGCTCAGTCTCAGCAGACCGCTTGAGGGTCAGGGTCAGTTCAGAGTCCACTCACGCAAAAATCAATTTCACGATTTTTCCATCCCTGCCCTGACACAACAATTGCATGCAATAATTGCAAATCCTGCTTCAGTAATTGACAGGACGCAGTGTTGGACTAATTAGTGTTGATTAGTAATTAGATAGAGTGACTAATTAGGATTAGACAGGCGTCCACTGATGACCAAGATGCAGCGATTTACAGGATATTCTATTTTTAGACTTACCCCACAGACCTCAACACTGTATGACCCTGTATGCCATACCCTGGGTATGGCGAATTACAGTTTTCACTGTAACTGGCTCAGAACACCAAATCTGGATGTGCGATTTCAGACACTGACTAATACTGAATTGTGATTTACCAGGGACTGACAAAATTGAATTCTGACGGACATAATCAAAGTTATGACTGACCCTAGTCTAGCCTAGCTTTAGCTATGTCAGCGCAGAATTCCAATTTGCATTATCACAGACAACAGACCCCTGAATTCACCAATTCACTGTACAGTGTCAATCGCAATACTATACAGCAGTCCCATATGAAATATGAGTAAGAGGGAAGGTCAAACAGGGTTAGTAAAAGTCAAAGAAAATAGGTAGGGAAAGTTGGATATGGTTGTCCCACAGTCTGAATTTCGATTTTCAACTGTCACCTGACAGATAGACCAAATTTCGCTATTCTAAAAATAGCCCAGAATCGCCACACAGGATGGAGTAAGGAACACACTTACTTCTGGGTCAACTCTGAAGAAGATGCATGAAACCCTGGCTATGGCTGACTGGTCAACCCCATCTCGCCAGTTTCATCTCCTGACTGTATCCAGTGTTCCCACGTACCAAATTGCCTGAAACTGGGTGATCCAGTAGATTACCCTGAGGCGCTTCACCCCCAACTGACAGATTCAAAGAATTCGGACTCCCAGATGTCAATAACTGACAAAGTCAGTGCAGCGCGATGAAACCCTGGCTATGGCTGACTGGTCAACCCCATCTCACCAGTTCCATCTCCTGATAGTATCCAGTGTTCCCACGTACCAAATTGCCTGAAATTGGGTGATCCAGTAGATTACCCTGAGGCGCTTCACCCCCAACTGACAGATTCAGAGAATTCGGACTCCCAGGTGTCAATAACTGACAAAGTCAGTGCAGCGCCACATCACCCTGTACTGCGCTGCTGGGAAATTGGGGATCCTGACCCAATTCCACAATCGCAACCTCCTGGGATCACTTCCTTGACAATCGCCAACCTCCAGGTGAATCGCCAGGCTATATTTAGCCTCTCAGAGCCTCTCAGGCTTCTGAGTATCAATCGCCAACCACTCCTGACAACCCCAGTCAGGAGTGAGTCACTCTCTGCCCAATTCTTCTCGCCACACACTCACAACCACCACCCTTACTGACAACCCTGAAGATGATGAATCGCCATGAAACTCGACTCCAGTATCTCGCCAGATGATGATGGATGCTCCAACTCCTCAATCGCTCCAGAGCCTGGATCCAATGGCTCCGATACCAACTGTTATGATTCTGGTTGTTTGTTGTCTGATGACCAACCCTCACACCCATTGACTCCCAGGTATGCCCATACATACACAGAAGGAAGGGGAGAGGA